TAAATCCAGCTCCTGAGTTTCCGGTTAGAGGAACATAAAATGTTTTCCTCTGACTTGCCAGTAACAGGATGAATTTGTATGACTGTCAATTCAGAACTGACTAAGAAACAAAGCTGGTGTCTGGGCGCCTCGGTCCGGAAGGCACTAAAGGGTGAAGTGACAGACAAGCGCTTCACCAGTGTCCTCCGGGACAAGTTCAAAAGCTTGAGTGGCCTGAATTACCTAGGGGAAGATACTGATTGGCTAGTTACGGGTCATGTGATCATTTCAACCAATCACTTTAAACAGGTTCTGAGGCATCTCCTGTCTGGGAAACCGGGATAACGCGAAGTATGTTCATAATGCCTTCGCGTTTTCATACATGAATAGAATAAATTTTAGTCCTTCTCAACCGATTATCCTCTCTTATCTGCCTCCTCCTCCCAGGAAACATCTTCTCACCAAGGCCTCCTCCTACTCGTGTGTGTGTGTGTGTGTGTGTGTGTGTGTGTGTGTGTCTGTCTGTCTGTCTGTCTTTGTGCGCGTGCCTGCCTGTGTGCATGCATGTGTGTTCTACCGGGTTTAAGTAGGGCTGCTCGCCTGAATTGGGTGATTATTTACCAGAGGACAGGTAGTAACCGCGGACAAAAGTGACATCTCTTCCCCCCCAGCCACTGTTAACCACAGTAGTCCCTCAGGAACGGGTTGGCCCTCATGAGCCCCTGCCCTGCCTGTGCTGAAAGGCTGCTGACCCTGGTCTTTTGTGATCGCCCGCAGGCAGTCACGGCTGCAGTGAGTTCATGGTCAGAACACCCTGCATCCCAGCGCTCCTCCCCAACCTCTGGCTCTCAGTCTTCACAACCCTGCCCCTTAGAGGATGCTGCTGAGCCCTGGAGGGGGTGATGTGGACGTCCCTGTTGAGAGCCAAGCTCCCCAGAGCTACTTATTCTCCGTGCCTTGACCTTCTGCGAATATCTGCATTAACTGCCATCCACTACAAGGGAGATTTCAATGGTGGGGTACTGAGAGCTAAGCTAATCTTCTAACATGAAGTTTTAATCAGCGCTATTTAAACACATCATTTAAATTGTGCTTGGAAAGGCAACAGTTCTAATAATAAGATATTGCAAAGTCTTTTTTTTTTTTTAAGGAAAAAGAAAAACCATTGACCCAGATAGGATGCTTGATAATTCTTAATAAGTGCTAAAAATGCTCATAAAAGAATGTGAAGATGCTTAATTGCTGAATAAATGAAATATAAACATTCATTAAGTTACTCCGAGAGTTCTTTAATATGTAGTGGGAAAATCATTTTATCAAATGTGCTGTAAGTAATAAATGCTTATTTCCTTTCCTAAAGCAAATTAATTCTTGAAATCGTTAACCACCATTTAAATGTTGCTTGACTTTTGTCTATTTGTTTCCCTCGTTTAATTTTTTCCTTGTCAGTGTGAGGGAATACATTTATCCAAGAGACAGAGCAACAGAGAGGACAGGGCTCCAAGCACCAGGACTTGGACCTGAGTCTGTGACTTTCAGTCCCAGCCCTGTCATTCATGATTTCTGTATCTCAACAAGTCAATTAACTTGATTGATTTCCAAGAGGCATGGGGGAGAGTTACTGTTTTTAAGAAAGTTGTTTTTTTTAATGTGTGTGTGTGTGTGTGTGTGTGTGTGTGTGTGTGTGTGTGTGTGCATAGAGCATGCATTTGAGTGTGTGGATATGTGTTTGCTGACCTGAGACAGGCTCTCTCGCTGGACCAGAAGCTTGGTCATTTGGCTGGGCAGCCTGGCAGGTGAGCTCTTGGGATCACGCATCTCTGCCTCCCCAATGCTGGGGTTACAACAGGCACAGCCATGCTCAGCCTTTTACATGGCCACTGAGGACTCACACTCATCTCAGCAGAATAAATTATCTTACCCACTAAGCCTGTGCGTGTGTGACTATTACACAGTCCTCACTACCCAGCTCCAAGAGCCATTGTAGTACTAGGCCACAGCGCTTTCCAATTTAAATCATGTCTAGAAATTACTAGGGGATTTTGCTAAGAATGGAAATGTTTTTCTTTTAGGTTCAGAGTTGGTCACAGGCCCAGCATTTCTAACAAGCTTCCACATGATAATATTGATTCAAACTTTAGGGAAGTCAGATTTTGGGGTGTCAACCAAGCCTATACCTCTCTCTCTCTCTCTCTCCCTCTCTCTCTCTCTCTCTCTTTCTTATGCGGGTGCAGGTGCACACATTCATAAAACAGGCATAAATATCTACACAGAGATAGCTCTTAGAAGCCTGCTCTCTCCCAGGAATCAAATCCAGGCCCTCAGGCTTGTGCATTGCACGCTTTTACCTGCTGAAGCAGCTCTCCAGTCCTCGCGATGATTTCTTTAGAGACTGCCACCCCCCACCCCCACCCCCAGTGTACATGGCTGGTTCACAAACCTCTCCGGTTGGTCATGCTGGCCCCTCTTTCATCACCACCTTGCCACAGCAGAATACAGTAGAGGGTATTTCTGATCCCAGCTGGGTCAAAAGAACATCTGACCCTCTTAGAGATTTGAACAGTGACAACCAGAAAGATAACATTTGTCTGTTCTTCTCACAAATTCTAAAAAATGGGCTAAGAGCAGCGTAGGTACTGAAGAATTTTGAGATTTTTTTTAAAAAATAGGATTATTGTGGAAAGCCACACTTGTACCTCTCCTTCTACAGTAAATCGAGAGTCTGTATGCTGAAAAGGACAGAGTAGCAAGTGAAGAAAGCTTGGGTCCTTGAGTAAGTAGGAGGCACACAGAACACTCTCTCCTTTCCTGCAGGCTGAATTTGATTACTGATGGGAGGGGAAGAATACATTTTTATTGCATGAAACCAGTAAAGTTTCAGAGATATTATAGAAGCTAGAAACATGTACAGTTGATCAACCCTTTCTGGAATTCTTTAAAAAAAGGGGGGGCTATTTAGGCTTAGCATGTTCCCCAGGGATGCCTACTTCAATTTATTATCCTAGAACATTGACATGAGGATTTGTGAGAATCTGATGAGATAAAAGGTGTGAACATAAGTTTCAACACATAAAATTATGCAAAGCTCTAAGGAAGCCTGCCAGGAATGCGATCTTTCTGAAATGAACCATGATCTAATGCGTTAATAAGAGCAACAGAACATAATGAGTGCTAACATGTAAACTCACACTAAGGTCAGGTTCTTTCTCCAGTCTTTTCTAGCTTAGATTTCTCATTCAGGCTTTTACAAAACCTCCTAACAAGCAGTGAGAACTCAGAGGGTAATTATAAAGTTCGTAATTTTCCTTTCAGATAAAAGTGTTTATATTTTAAGAGTCCCCGGGGACAAACGAATATTAACATTTAATATGGCACTTTCCATGTTTATCCACACAAGAAATGTGGGCATCCCCTGGAGGAGCCTGGGATCGCTCACAGGAAACCAATCTTCTGTACTGTGTTCTCAGGGGTCCTCTCTTCCATGGCTGCTGGTCTCAAGGGGACATAGCTGTGCTCCCAGCGGCTGAGCATCCGTTGTCTACTTTTCTAAATTTTTTTTTATATACAACGGAACCACAGAAAAGATGTTCCTGAGTACAGCCCCATCTCCCTCTCCTGAGGCCTACAGGCAGATCGCAGCTGAAGACCAGACAGTCAGGAAAGCCAGGGTCCCACCAGCATCTCCGCTTCCTTCATCTGGCCTCCATTCATTTTTTTGTGTCCTGGGGCTTGAGTTTGCCCTTGTGTCTTTACGCATATTCCTAAGCAAAGCTGGGCAATTAATAATGTAATTTATGTGAGCCCCTTTGAGTCTGAATGTAGGACCAGTTCTGTTGACAAGCAAAGCACTTAAAATCAAAACCTTTCTCCTTCCAGTTACCAGATCCAGGGACCCATAGAAGGCACGTGTCTTTGTGGGATATGTACACAGTCAGTGCAGCTTGCCACAAGCCGACACCCCTAAATGAGAGGGCACAAGGTATTCTTAACGGGGAGAAAGCTAATTCCCTTTCCATGTGGCTTCTAAGTCCTTCAAAAAGATTGGTCTTGGCTCATTACAGAGTCAGTGGCCATTGTGTGTGGAGCTGGAAAAATAGAAAGTCATGGACATGGCAAAGCCTATGCTCATATGGATAGCAAAGCTCAGAGAAAACAGACTTTTAAAGGGTACACAGGGAGGGTCTGGAGAGATGGCCTAGCTGTTAAGTGCACTTAACACTAGCAGAGGACCTGGGTTCAGGTTCCCACCCCTGCATGGTTGCTCACAACTGCTGTAACTTTAGTTCTAGGAGATCGGAGACCCTCTTCTGACCTCCTCAGACACCAAGCGTGCATGTGGTATACATATATGCAGGCAAGACACTCATACACATGTACTGTTTTTAAAGATACTTGGAGAGTGGATGTCCCGGTACTTACAGACCTTCATCTATCACCCATCCATTCTCCACCCAGATGTCCATCGATCCATGCACCCACACACCCCTTTACTCATCCATCTACCCACCATCTATCCACCCACCCACCTCTCCACCAACCCATCCACCTACCCATGCGCCTCTTGTACTTCGTTGCCTGCACATCTATCTCTCAGATCCACCTATCTTTCCATCCACCCACGTACCCATCACCCACCCATTCACCCACCTATCCATCCACACATGTATTCATACATCCACACATCCATCTGTTCACCTGTCCTCCTGTCTCTCCATTCATCCATCCACCCGAGCATCCAAGCAAACAGATTGCTAAACCTCTTCTTTGATCAGTTCTGCACCCATTCTTGGGAGTACACAGGGAGATGGAAGCAGAAGGTGGAGCTCGGATGAGGAGTCTACATGACCGGCTGGAAAGACTCTGGAACACACTGCCAGGGAAACTGGGGGAGATTGACTGAGTGAGTGAGCCGCCTCAGCATAAGACTGATAAACCACTTGCTCATCATAGAGATGTGGGGACCTCCAGGCTTCCTAGAGAGACCAGGGAGTGGCTTCAGGAGCCAGTCTGACAACTCTTGCTCCAGAGCAGCCCAGCAGGGGATCAGAGGCTCTCTCGTCTTGCAGCTACGAGCCACGCTGTCTTCTGCCTCTGTGAGTGGACCCGGGTCACCCTCGGGGTCCCTATTCTGGGATGGCAGGGCGCTGCTAAACGCACTTAGGCCAGGCTTGTGACAGGAGCCGGCTGAGGGTGAAAGAAGGTGAAGGTGACAGTCTGAGGGGAACAAGTGGGATCTGAGAGTGACAAAGTAGTGGTTGATGGTGATAGCTGGTGTTTGAGGGTGTCGAATGACAGCTGAGGGTGACCGATAGTTGCTGAAGGTGGCAAAGGGCTCTTGTGACAAGTGGCATCTCTGGGATATGGTTGTGACTAGCACCTCCTAGAAGTCAGGACATCGTCTTCTCTGTTTCCTCTGTTCCCACCACGGGCTCAGCTGAGCCATCTAGAATGTCACCAAGTTCTGAGACACCAGTTCTCCTTTTTCCCTTTGGCTTTTTGATGTAATTTTACAGGGAGCACAAGGCCCCCTGCAGAGCCTCCCACAGGCACCTCACTAGAATCAATTCAAAGCTTTCTTTATCATCACTTGGGAAGGGACAACAACCCTGTCTTCACGACAAATGATTTGGATTTTTCTGGTCACACCGGCAAACTGAGGTTCCAAACAGAATGAATTCTATTATTATGATTTTTAATTATATGCATCTTGGGTGTGTGTTAGACCAGGTGTGTTATTCATACTAAGGAGGAGCCAGTGAGATGATAGAGTGAGAAGGGCTTGTCCCGACAGCAATATTAGGCCCTATACACTGAGCTTACCTTTGATCAGGGGTTAAGAGTCACTCAGACCTTTTTCAAGCTCTGGCCCAGCTCAGCCTGCATGACCTGTGAACAAGGTATCAGATCTGTTTTCCTCAGCTCTGAGAACTGGATAAGTCTAGATTGCTACCTCAGAATTGTCCGTAAGCATCGCTGGTATACATCTGAAACCCCTTGCCAGTAACGAACAAGTGTAGCCATGCTTACTGCGATTTGCGCTGTAGGCAGGAGGACGCGTGGTGAGAAAGTTATTCAGGGTCACTCAAGTAGTTGACGGTAGACCTAGGTCCAGGACCCAAATTTCATGATTCCCGGGACAAGAACTTTAATGCTCTGTCACCCACCCCACTGCCTCGGGAGAGTAGGTAGAGCAGCACCTCCTTCACTCTCCTGAGCTATTGCAGCATGTCCTGGTTGTGAAATCAGGTATGATCCAGACCAGTGTGTACTTCATATCCATTGCTACGGGTCAGAGACTGGCTAGCCCTGTGGGGCTGCTGTGATTGGGACATGAGCGATGAAGTCAGATGTCCCTTGTCCTCACTGGATACACTGTATCTTCTCACTGCTTAGGAGGACTTGGAGTTGATCATTCTGTCTCTGAACCTCAGTCTATTCATCTGCAAAACGGGACCCACCAGTTAGCACTGTCTCTTTAGGGCAGTGATGTGCGCACAATGACGTAATTTATAAACAAGTTGTAGCCCAGTGCCTGGCACATTAAGGGCTTCTGCAGTGGCAGGAGACACCGCTAGGTGGTAGGGTGGAGTGGCAGGCATGCTTACTTCAAGACGGAAGGAGGCACGAGAGTGGCGGAGAAGACAGGTGCCATTTGAAATACAAATACAAGGGATAAAAAACAACACTCCCCTTCATTCCTTTTTGGCAGGGGAGGGCAGCACCGTAAGAATTGCCAGTGCCTTCTGTGTAACAGATATCTAGGCAAATGGAGTGTGAGTGAGTGACCTGCCCCACGTGAGGTGATGACAGGCCCCCTATTGCCCAGAATGAACCTGTGGTGGTGATCCCCCTGCCTCGACCTCCCCAAGGTGCTGGGATGACAGGTAGATTTTTTTTTCCCCTGTATGAAAGCAGGGATTTCTTTGTTTGTTCTTTTTTGTTGTTGTTGTTCTTTGTTTTGTTTAACAGGCTGGCTTTGGATTCTCTAGCCTGAGTCTTCGGCCTCTACCTCTGAAGAGCTGGGATTACAGGCTAGATCTCCAGTCCAGTTGCTGTTCTTAGTTGGGTTGTTTGTTTGTTCGTTTTGTTTTGTTTTGTGTTGTTTTGTTTTGTTTTGTTTTGTTTTGTTTAGCATGCAAGGCACCTTAGCTCAGAGGTAGAGTACTTGCCTAGCATACAAGGCCCTGGGTTCCCTCGTCACACTACAAAAGGCCATATCTAGCATGAGGACATCTTAAACTCTTTCTGCTTTACATGCTGTTGGCCAAATGCTCAGTGCATCCATGTCTGCACTGGGCTGTGATGCCAGGGGAGAAGCGGCATCGTGGCTTTGAACCACGGAGCTGGGAGAACAGTTTGCACAGTCTACGGTTTTTATTACCAGTCCTTAGATTTAATTAGGTCTTTTGTAAATCTAAAACACTCCCGGTCATATTTCATCACTTTCTACCTCTAACTCCCCTGTGAGGCATCAACTGTGACCCTGGTGTTGCCTTAGCATTATCAAGAGGTCAGACAGACTTGAAACTTCTTTCTTTCTTTCTCCTGTTTGTAATTAAGATTCCTTTTCCTTAATCATGTGCTTAACTTTAACCTGTTTCTGAGAAAACGACAGCTCAGGTCAGATGCTGCCTCCCGGATCCCAACAGAGAAGCAATTACTCAGTAAGGCTACATTTTGGAAGAGCCTCCAAGCAGTTGCAATAATAGATAGAGTGTGACCCCAGGAGGCGTCAGATGGAGACTAAGTAACAAAACAGAAGTCCTAAGTGTCTGGAAACGGGAGGAAGGAGAGATACTATACACTCATTCGCCTCCCTATCTCACAAGAGGGTTTCCTGGGTGGAGGGGGTCCTATATGGACTGTTTTTGCTAAGATTCTCTGTCTCTCATGGTCCTTTTTTTTTCCCCCCACAAGGTTTCCTAATTTATAGGTTGCTTGTCTTTATCCTCCTTGGCACTGAGCTCTGTGGGAACCACCTTGCTCAACCTCTGAGGTGCAGCAGAGATTGACACAGGACAGACACTGCTTCCTGGGGCATGCCCCCACCTCTCTCTCTCTGTGTCTCCGTGTGTGTGTGTGTGTGTGTGTGTGTGTGTGTGTGTGTTATGCACACCCATTTTTTGATGTGCTCAAGAATGTGCATATAGAAACCACATCTACTATCCACTACTCTCCACCCTCTTTTTTGAGACAAAATTCTTACTGAATTTGGGGTTCCCTGTCTCTTGGCCCTGTTACTGGGCTTTACCGACACATTCAGCCATGCCTGACCTTTCTGTGGCTGCTGGAGATCTGAACTCAGAGCTCAGATCTTGAAGAACAAAGGTCTTCCTCTCAGCCTTTTTTATTTTTTAATGTGCTTGTTGTTCTTATGGGTGAGGTCACTCCCCAGAGCCCCCTTTGTGGCTCCTGACCTCACAAGTCTTTCTAGGCTTTTTTTTGGGGGGGGGAGCTTTGTTTTCATTGTGGTTTGGTTTGCTACATTATGGGTTTTTTTAATCTTTCTCTTTTGGCCCTCCATAGGTTAGTTGGGCAGGTTCTTGCCTCATCTCTCTCTGAACTAGCTGGAGGGTAATGAGGGGTAACTTCAATGGCCTGCCAAGTTTCTGTGTTCACTTGTGACTAGACATTCCTGACCCCTGGCCTTCTACCTGAACTGGAATGTGTGGCTTTTAAAAGCAAGAAACAATTCCAAGTAGTTCTGTCACAAGTTCTTAATTAGACGCTCAGAGGCCTCACCCATGCTTGGGGTCCCTTACAGTGATAGTCTGTGGGGATATTTAAAACAGTTTGAACTCTGTTATCTGGCATCTTGTTATTCATGGTGTCTGTGTATGTGTGTGTGTGTGTGCGTCTCCCACACACATCTGCCTGCCTGTCACTGGGTGTCATTCTTCAGGTGTCATTCACATTGTTTTTTAAGGCCAGGTCCTTACCAGGATCTGGAGCTCACCGGTTAGGCTAGGCTGGCTGACAAGAGAGTACCATAACTGCTTCTCTCCACTCCCTAGCCCTGACACCATAAGTGCCAGGCTTTTTTTTTAACATGAGATCTAGGCCTTTGTGCTTGCAAGGCCAGCGCTTTACCAACCAAGCACCTCCCCAGTCCCCCTAGTCTCGGCTTTTCTTACAAGGTGGGCAGTTTCCAGCATCCTTCCGTCAAAGCCATCATCTTCCTCCAGCTTTTCCTATATGCTACCCACTGTGGCCTCTAAGTCTGTCCTTCTCCTCCCCTTGGTCCTAGCTGGGCATGCCGGCCCTTAGCCCTCACCAGCATCCCTCCAATGTAGCCCCTCATCACCTCCTGCCTGGACTCTGTTCTGAGCCTCCCCCTTCCCTAATAGAAGCCCACTCTTTATCAGAAAGCTTGGATTCCCTGCGGTAAACCAACAAGTGTCCTATTATCTACTGAATGGAGTTCAGAAGAGGACTCAAGGCTGTCCCTGTGCCAAGTCCAACTAGCCTCCATTTCTCTGCTCTGTAGAATGAGTTCTCTCTCTCTCTCTCTCTCTCTCTCTCTCTCTTTGGTCATATTCTTTATAGAAAGTAGTCCTGGGGCCTTAAGGTGAATCTGCAGGAGAGTAAACAGATGAGGAGGGATACCAAAGCAAGACGCCTGCACCTATCCCCACTACTACCCCACCCCCATCAAATGCCCTGAGCACTCTCCCTGGAAGCACTTGAAAGATGCCTAAGGGTGGAAGGCATGATTTACTACAGAAAGGAATTTTTCTCTCTGTTCTTAAGTATGGAGTTAATAAAACAGTCTCAAACAAAGCACACTGCACCTGCCAGAAGTTCTACAGGGTTCTATCTTGGGATAGAACATAGGAGGAAACCCTTCTCTCAACCAGTTTTAAAGTAATTTTTTCCAGAGGTCCCAATCTGTTTCCAATATCAACGCTAATGCCTTATATTCAAAAAGGGCTTTGTGGTTTTGAGAGCAACCCTTCCTTCCTTCCTTCCTTCCTTCCTTCCTTCCTTCCTTCCTCCCTTCCTTCCTTCTTTCCTTCCTTCCTTCCTTCCTTCCTTCCTCCCTTCCTTCCTTCTTTCCTTCCTTTCTTCCTTCCTTCCTCTCTTTCTTTCTTTCTTTCTTTCTTTCTTTCTTTCTTTCTTTCTTTCTTTCCTTCTTTCACCTCCACCTTAACTTTGTCAGGTAGGCAAGGAAGCCATACCTATGTTTATATTACATAGGAAGGAATTAGAAGCCAAGAAGTAAGGGGTGTGGCTAAAGCAGAGCTGTGACTGGAGCGGTGTATCTCCAAAGTGTCTCCTGCACTAGCACATACGGTTGTTTGGGTTTTTCAGTGCTGGCCATGCAACCAGAGATTCACACATGCTGGGTACATGCGGTACCACTGAGCGGCAAGCCAGCCACCTTTTTCCTCTTGTTCACTCATTACGAAGATGAAGCATGTTTATACATGGTCATAATGTTTTGGCATCCTCTTTCAGGTCCAGTTGTCCCTTCGCTGTCCAGTATGGACTCCCCAAGGCTCCCAGAGGAAACCGTCCTCATTACAGGAGGAGGCGGATATTTTGGCTTCCGGTCAGTTCATCTACGAAATACCCTCATGGAATTATTCTACTGGATAGTTTTCTATTTTGTGGGCTTTTACATGTTTGTATAGTGCTAAAACAAAAGTGAATTCTGGTGTCCTCTGCTCCGACTTGAAAATTGAAAAAACAAAAACAAAAACACAGATTTATTCTGCTTCGAGAAAAAAAAATTTTTTTTAAACCTGTAAATTGGGGCATGGTGATTATTCACGTCACTAAAGATAATTTTCTAAAACACAGCTCTATTCTTTTCTTTTCTCATCACTGTGACCATATATATACCTAACAAGAATCAATTTAAGGAAGGAAAGTACAGCAAGACTCTTAGCTTAAAGGGCTGCAGTCCCTCGCGAGGGGGAGGGGGGGGGACAAGGCAGCAGGAATCTAAGACTGTGAGACAGCAGCTGCTCACACTGCCCGACCCGGAAATCAGAAAGCCAAAAACCAACAGGAAACTGGATCTGTCCATCAAACCTCAAGGCCCACCTACCTGTCTGGAGGCTCACTTCCCCCAACTTCCAAAACAGCGCCACCAGCCGGGGACCAAGGGCTCAGTGGGCTGAGTCCCAGGGGACCGGTTCACATTTAAACCACAGTAGGCGTTCTGTCGCAAAGATGTTGCGACTCACGTTGTTGAGAGGATTCCTGTCTTTTCAAAATACAAATAAGACCTGAAAGAGTGGGTACGTAAAGTAAGTGAGTCAGGATGAGTTAGCATGATTTGCGTGAGCCCGTATGTTACTGACAAGTTATTTCGTACCCTTGCCCTTGACACAGCTAGAGGGTAACCTCTGACCTTTCTCACCTCAGCCTCGCCTGTGCTCTGAACAGGGAAGGAGCCCATGTGATCCTGCTTGACATCAGCCCACCTGCCCAGAACCTTCCAGAGGGAATCACATTCATCCGCGGAGACATCCGCTGCCCCGCCGACGTGGAGACAGCCTTCCGCGGCGCTGACGTTGCGTGCGTGTTCCACGTCGCCTCTTACGGTATGTCTGGGAGGGAGCAACTGAACAAAACCCTGATTGAAGCGGTCAACGTCGGCGGCACAGACAACGTCCTCCGGGCCTGCCTGGAGAGAGGCGTGCCCAGGTTAGTGTACACCAGCACCTTCAACGTCGTCTTTGGAGGTCAAGTCATCAGAAACGGGGATGAGTCTCTGCCTTACCTGCCTCTTCACCTGCATCCGGATCACTACTCGCGGACCAAATCCATCGCAGAGAAGAAGGTTCTGGAAGCCAATGGCTTGCCCTTCAAGCAAGGCAATGGTGTCCTCAGAACCTGCGCACTGAGGCCAGCTGGCATCTATGGGGCCGGGGAGCAAAGGCACTTTCCCAGGATAGTGAGTTACATTGAGAGGGGCCTGTTCAGGTTTGTGTACGGGGACCCCGAGAGCCTGGTTGAGTTTGTCCATGTGGATAACTTAGCCAAAGCTCACATTCTGGCCTCCGAGGCTCTGAAAGCTGAGAAGGGCCACATTGCCTCCGGACAGCCCTACTTCATTTCGGATGGTAGACCTGTGAATAACTTTGAGTTCCTCCGGCCGCTGGTTGAGGGCCTAGGCTACAAATTCCCATCCATCCGCCTGCCACTCGCCCTCATCTACTGCTTTGCTTTCCTTGTAGAGATGACCCACTCCATCATGAGTAGGCTCTACAACTTCCAGCCCTTCCTCACCCGCACCGAGGTGTATAAAACTGGCGTCACACATTACTTCAGCTTAGAGAAGGCCAAGAAAGAGCTAGGCTACACGCCTCAGTCATTTGACCTACAAGAGGTGGTAGAGTGGTTTAAAGCCCACGGTCATGGCAGAAGGTCTGGAGGTCAGGACTCCAGGTTCATTCTGTGGGATGCAATTCTGGTCCTACTCTTGGCGCTATCTCTTCTTACCTGGCTCCCTCCTTCCAAAGCTCTATGCATGTGAAGAGAAAGCTACATGTGGGAACTGAGCCTGCTTCCTGGGATGCTTTTCAAGAACGCAGGTTTTTTTTTTTAAAGATGTGTCACATTCTCTGGTATCACTCCTACTACCTAACAGTGAGTCTTTAAACCCCGTGGCCAGGGATGGGCTACCTCCTTATGAGTTGTTGGTCAGGGAGGCTCCTGAGGCCTTAAAAACAGTACTGGCTATTGTCAGTGCTCTTATTTGCCCACCAGAACTAGATAGTAAGATCCCCGATTTCAAAAAATGTCATACACTTCAACTGCAGCACAAAAAGATATCAAGCTGGAACTGAACCGGAAGGTCCTCCATGCCTGCTAGGTTTTACAGTGCCGGCAGGTTCTGGGCAGGCTGATGGAGGAGAAGAGACTTCCTCAGCTGTGGACCCTGTAGACCTCACTACCAGTGCTAGGCCAGGTGTGCCCTCTGATACAATAGTGGTATATCTGTTAGGGGAATACCAACCACTTCCTGATTGAGATCTGCTCCATAGGACTGAGTTTAGCTCACAGATGGAGAGGTCACAGGTCAAGTGTGGCCTACTACTGTTACTTTGCTGGAAAGAAAAAAAAAATGTGTCCATAAATCTGCTTTCTAAATATCCATGCTTATACTCATAGACTAGTGCTACTTTCGGCTGTGATCAGAGAAGCTTCTCTCTGCAGTGGGCAGCAGTTTTACCTCAGAGATTCATAACCAGTCAAAGCGCCAAGAATAAGTGAGTGTTGAATTCTCATTCATAGACAGGACATTTATATAGCCCCTTCCAAGGTTCATGGGACTTTGTAGTAAAAGGGGTGGAAAAAATGCAAAAGCTGGAGGAAAGGTCAGAGTGTTGGGGAGTGTGTGTTCTGAGTGACATGCCCACTGTCCTCATGGACTAACAGCAGCTGTGATTACCTATCCTAGATGGCATATGACGGGACTTATCACCATTCAGCCATGGGAGGAAGAGGAGCTCAGGATACCCACCCCTCCCCAAGGAGCTGTAGGCAATTGGTGGTTTCCGAGGAGAGACACTTTCTCAAGTGATATTGTCATGGCTAGGTTGTCCCCATGCTCCTGTAAGCAATCTTAATGAAACTCTTTGGAACACACACACATGCACACGCACACACGGTTTAGAAAAGAAAGAGGTAAGAGATCAGTGGGAGTTGGGACAAAAGAGGTATGAGGTTAATATGATCAAACTACATTACACACGTCTGAGAATGTCATATATTTAATCTCACATATTTAATATGTGCTAATAAAAAAAGAAAAAAGAATGGATTCTTGGATTGAATATTCATTACTTTTCTGTGTCCCAACTGAGCCTGCTTGGAAACAAGAAGACACAAAGGTGAGTTTGAAGTGTGGTCTCTGGGTCCTTGAACCCTGGCTGGATGCAGCAGAAAGTCACTCTGAAGCCAGGGAAGGGTGTCAGGGGGGTTAGAAGTTCTAGCTTGGATGTCTCAGAAGCCAAAAATGAACCCGTGTTTACATCATACACTGCGTGTGCATAAAGCAGTGGAATTCAGACTGAGATGGAGTGGTCCAAACAGAGGCTTGGGTCGTATCCCTAGCAGACAGGGGAGGATAGCCACTCCAGGAAGGAGCTAGCTGTGCATAGCATAGGTTTTAGGAGCCTCAAAACCCTCTGCCCTTTGTGGTTCAAGGGCATCCCACCTGTATGACCATGGGTCATATTTGTGTTGAGGCAGGGAGATTGGCAGCCTACTGCATAGGAGCCTTCTGAAGATTAAATTAGACAACGTTTACAGCACACACACGCGCGCCACCATTGTTACCAGTGTCATCACCGTACATTCCTTCTGAAGGCTCTTTTCCTGGGAGTACTCTTTTTAGGGGGCCTACTGTTGCTGAACTTTCTGGAATGTCTCTGAGTGTCCCCAGGAGCCCGCAGCAGGGTGTGCTGTGTCTGTAACATTCCAGCACACGGTAATACACTGACATTCAGGGCAAAGCTCAGAGCTCGTGATCGGGAGCAGTGCTCAAACTTTCTGTGCTTTTACGTCTGAATCCCCGCTACGACTCTACTGCAGTGCCGCTTGCTGTGGAGAGTGGGCTCTCAAGGCAGCTCCCAATGGCGAACAGAGGTCTCATCTGCAGGAAGACAGTGGTCAAGAACGGTTGGACACCACAGTGGACGGTGCACATTTATTCTGGGAGCATCTGAGAATCTGACAGTTGCACAGACCCTGTTGAATGGAGCCTGGATACTTGGGTGAATGCCCTGAACTTGATGCCACAAGACCCACTTCATCAATGTCCCTTTGTCCTTACCAAGCACCTTACCTGCAGCCTCTGAAGAGCTTAGTGGTCTACGTCTGAGAAATGGGACTGACCACGCTGGCCCTGTTTGTGAAGTAGTCTGTCTTGCAGTGTTGAGAACATAAAGGAAGGAGCGTTGGGAATGCTCTTACCATAGGAATCCCCATAAATAGGAGGAGGACGCCATTGCTCTTAGGACAGTATTTTTGCAGTCTATCTCTGGGAAAGGTGACTCTGCTCTCTTAGACTTTTAGACTAAGAGTGCCACAGGATGTCCATGTGAGAGGGTCACTGACACAGGTCATTGGGTGCCACCACGGGCTCCTCAGAATGTGTTCTAAATGACATTGTGTCTAGAGCTTCCTGAGTGGCTCATCGGAAGGTCTCACTTCCATGCCTCAGGAGCATCTCTATGTGACTACTGAACACTGTCATGATATAGCTCCTGGTGTCCTCCAAAACAGGTAATCTAGGAGGGTAAAGTGCGTCTTTTGTATCACATACGGACACCCCACAGTACAAGTAGCAGAGGCTAGTCCTAGTCCACGCAGGAAAAAAGTTGATTGGGGGTCTTGGGAACCATCGTGAAGGCTGGGCTCAGGCCCCTCCACATCACCGATGTTCCAGTAACAGAAACCTGTGTTTGCAGCTCCCTTTCTTGACCAGCTTCCTTCCTGATCCAGATTCCTCTTCGTGCTTCATGTTTTTTGTTCATGTAATTATTTTGAACACCCCATTGTTTCTCATTAGTCTTATTGCTCTTCATTCCATTAGACAAAAGCGTCACCCACAGACCCCTTTGAGATGAATCTTCTTACCGGAATGTCTGCCCAAATCACAGAAGGACCATGCCCTGAAGTTCCTGCAAAGCCTGTTGTCTGAAACCCCACCACCACCTGAGGTCTAAGGTCTTAGAAGATTTCACAACCATAAACTCAGTCACACACGACCATTTCCAACAAGAGTGTTCCTGAACTGGTTAGCTTTAGTCAGTGGAAGAAGAGGTCACACAAGGTCATGACCACCAGAGGGCAGAGGGTGTCAGAAGCCAGGATTAGCCTACCCTGTAGTAGGTGGGTTGTCACCTGAGTTTTCTCCCTCCCTGCAGGAGTAAAATGGGCCGAGTAGGCAGTGATTGGCACTCGCCTCGAATACAGGCTGAAGGCTGACCATGTTTTTGAGTGTGTGTTCAGGTGTGCTTGCGTGTGGAGTCAGAAGTTAACCCCACGTGTCATTCATCAGACACCGCCCACCTTGTTTTTCCAGACAGGGTCTCTTTCTTACAAGCCTACGATTCACCAGGCAGGCTAGACTGACTGGCACCCCTTCCTTTGAAAAAGGGAACTTTAATGACAAAAGCCATTTCCGTGGGTCTGATCACTACGAGCAGGCCTGACCAATCAGAACACTTCTGTCCTCCTGATTGTGGTCACTGGACAAGGAGAGCCACTCAGCATCCTCCTTTCAACCTTCCTCTCAGCACCTGATGCCCAGGCCTCCCTGCCCTGCCCAGGTTGCTGCATTGGAAGGGCAAGTGTTTATGCTACCAAGGTTCTCCCTCCCAGGACAGACCTGAGCTGTAAATCCAGGCTCCTGGGTCTCCTTGAAGTTCAACAAAGAAATGGGGGAAGCGAAGAGCCTTGCTCACATTGCTATGGGCCTGTGACCCCCCCCTGACTTCAGCAAATCCATCCGAAATCACCTAGGCCATGAGTGTCAGTGTGTCTGCTTGGGACTTTTTAAGTCGGGTTTCCTCCGACACTGGGAAAAGTTCTGTCTTAGGCTCTTCACGGTTCCAAGCGCCTGGGCCCAGGTGAGCACGCCTGTGCTCTGCGTTGCTCCTATTTGCCTCTGTGTCTTCTTCCTGACAAAGGAGTCCTCTTTAGATAACATCTGTGGGACTGCCCACCCACCTGAGGTTTTCTTCCTGAATTTGTTATGACCTAGCTTATGAGCATGTTTGAGTTGTGTTGTGCAACTCACATGGACTTGGCCAATCAAACAGGCTAGCTCTCTCCTTCTATTTAAAAAAATGGACAAAACATCTTCCCCATGACACAGACACCGAATCAGGGCAGGAACCAGGCCTGTTCTGTGTACTGGAGATACAGATACAGATACAGATACTGTGTACTGTACATACAGAGCCTTTGTATGACATGAGCAGTAAACTCTACTGGACTGGTGGATGCACTGACAGGCAGCCGGTCTCTGCCCCAGGATAACCACTAATTCCCTCATGACCCTTGCCTTTAAACCTGTGACTCTTCACTCTACCCAGTGAAGACACTCAAGGGCAAGTCAGAAATGCAGGCTCTGCGGGTGCCTACAAAATGGCAGAGGAATGAGAAGAAAGGAACTGATCCTTTCATGGTGAGAACCTGAAAAGGGTGTGTGTGTGTGTGTGTGTGTGTGTGTGGACAAGACAGAGGACAACTTTGAGTGTCCTTCCTTGGGTGCCATCTGCGTCTTCATTGAGGGACAGGGTCTCTCACGGACTGGACCTCCTAACGGGCTACGCTGGCTGCCCGTCAGGTGTCTCCCTGTCTCAGAGCACAGACATGCACACCACCATGCCTGACATCTCACAGAGGTGCTAGGAATCAAACTCACAGCCGCACACTTTCAAGGCAAGCTTCACAACAGAGCAGTCTCCTCAGCCCCTCCTGGTCTTTTATGTTGTTGTTGTTTTATCTTCCACAAATGGTTCCATACAGCAAATATGTGTACCCTTGCAAGATGCTGAGTGAGGTACTCAAACATGCTTGTAACCTCCCTTTCCACTGATTGGCTCAGCGGGTCCCCAGTACCCCTTAGCTGAGTATATCAGAGGTCAGAAGGGACTCATAAAATAACCTAGGCTCTCTGTGACCTCCTGCACTTCCTTTCTGCATGGCCAGATTGTTCTGTAGCCTGTTTTCTCTCTGGCCATCCTGGAAAGCCCTCCCTTCAGCCAGAAGGATTCTTCTGCAAGCCCATCTGCTTGATCCCGGTTGTCTGGTCTTCCTGCGCTACAGCCAATAGATGCCCAGGAATAGTAGCCAATGCAAACCAATGTACAAACTACTGTTGTTTGTTTGTTTTTCAGGCTTTTTGTTTCATTTTGGCATTTTTTTTTTGCCTTGTTTTGATTTTGTTTTTGTCTTTTTGTTTTCATTTTTCAGAGAATGAGAAGTTGGGAGGATAGGGAGGTATGGAAGATTAGAGAAGAGTTGGGAAGAGGAAACTATGATAAAAATATACCACATGAAAATTTTTTAAATAAAAGAAATTTTAAAAATTGAAGAAATGGGCTCCGCCAGCTCACAGCATCTCCAAGCTTTGCGGATCTGACACTGCCCCAGTCTGTGTTTTAGAAACCCTGGACACCAGGACATATACTTTGTCACTAAAACACGTAACTGTGACTGAAGCCAAACCTAACTCATTACAAAATTACACATGGAAAAGCAACCTAACAAGAGATTTCGCTGTAGAAGTTTACAGTGTTTATCATTCAGGGAGCTGGTGGGAGCAAGCAAGTAATTAAAAAATTCATTCCAATGTCTAGAATTTTAATCCTGGCAAACAGTCTGAATATCCTTGTCTCTAGTCTTCCAGTGGAGCCTCACATTAGAAAGCTTTCATTATAATACACGTGTGTGTTGTTGTTGTGTCTATTTTGTGCTCCTAGCAGCTCCTATTTCATGTCTGAGATAGACAGTGGGTCTTTTTGAAATATTCACCAGCTTGTACAGGCAGTTACTGTGTTTCTAGGGTAATTACAACCCCCCCCCCACACACACACTGTATTTTGCTCAAAATGTTCAACATGAGGAAAATGACAGATGTCAACCCATCACCCTGTCACTAAAGTGCTCAGCTTCACGTTCTCAATAGGTAATTGCTCCTGTTTGTTGTGAGCTTACACTGTGTGACGCTCCCTATATTTTTGGGCTCATTAGGTTTTCTAAGTACCATAACAACTAGGTACATTTTTACCACCTGTTTACAT